GGAAAGACTCCAGACTATTTCCTAGTAACATCACTGAATGATGGAGTTACACCTGTTCATCCAAGCTATATGTGCATCCATTCCTGCATCTTGCCTCGATTTATCAGATATCCTTTGCATTGGTTACACAAGATCCTTGCTTGATCACCTGTCTACGCGCATAATTCGCGTTCTTCCTACTAGGCAGCCACGCCACAAGTCTCTACAGACCCTATTTCTCACTTAGTGGTAACCGAATACAAGAATTTCGCCTTCTGAATCCTCCAATAACTTGAGAGCAATACATAAAATCATACTTGGAGACACAGGGCTGTGAAAGAAAGATTGACCCTGTTCGAGGATGCCGACATCCTCGCAAGGATGATGAATGTCGGAATACTTTATTTTAGACAACGTAGCATATTCATTGTAAGAGTAAATTTTGATAAAACCTTTATTGAATGACCGCAAGTGCGAAAGCATGTATGGTATTCATCGTTACATACATAAGGATTGGTTGAATGGTGCTTAGATACTAGGCTGTCTTGTTACACCGTATAACATCGTCCGGACATCGTAAAATACATAATATATCAGGATATACATGATACTCCATCTGGTTGTATTTCTAAACAATACTTAGATGATCAGTAATGGCCAATCAGGAAGGCAAGTGCTTCCGCATTACTTAACGGAGTTAGCAGGCCGGTAGTCCAAGCCTAGTAAGTGAGTGTCCAGTAAATTTCAAACACAGAGGCACTGGCCATCTGTTAAATGTTCATCTATATTCCATAAGCACTTGCATTCTTTGCACAAACGGCACTTATTATTTCTTCAACCATTCCAGAATACCTTTTCGCGGGTGAAGCTAGCTTGAAGTTTTTCATATTATACAAGAGATAAGAGCCTTTTGTCTATGGAATTGTTGAATGAAATACACATTTCCTTTTCCGCAGCATCATGTCGGTAAATCGTCGCTACTGCTAGTACTTAGAAGACCGACATGACTTTGATCAATTGACCAACTCGATGCACGAGGGCTTGTGCTTACTTTCTATATGGCAAATAATTTTGCCATGTTGAAGATAGAACACGGCGATAAGTTCTGCTACATCCTTTTGACTCAGCTATTTTCATCACTCATACTCAATACTCACCGAATCTGATTCTATCTCACGTCTACACCAGCTGTCCAAGTCGCAGATGATCTATCAACATCAAGCACAACGTGCTTCAATCCACACGGAACCATGGTCACTCTCCTCAATCACTCGCTACATTCCCATTCGAGGGAGTTTCCTTGATGCTTGGTTGCCAGATACGTCGGAAGACAAGTCGCCAGCTCGTGCTGGGCCCAATCACATTGCGGTTCCTTTCGAGGCTGAGGTGGAACTTGGAAGATATACACAATATAAGCTCCCGCAGAGGGAAAATAATAACCGATGAGACTTTCTCAATTGACGAAGTCGATGCTTTCAGTATCCTATCATCCAATGGAAGTAGTGATGACTTACGACAGAGAAAATGTCTCGGATTCGTCACCGTACAATGGCAATTCCCTCAAGTTATACAATCAACTAAGTTGGAGCCATGTCGATGATAGATACCATCTCAAAGGGATATCGAAAAAAATCTCGTTGTTATTCATCAAAAGCTTGATTAAATTTGGCATTAATCGGTGTCGGGATATCGATCATGTGGTCTAAAAGAGGGCACTGTATTGCACTAGCGTATGCACTAGCGCTAGCACTTCTACTATATTAAATACTAGCTTCCCATAGTTAATAATGATCAAGAACGAATACAACCATAATAGACTAAAGTACTTTACACTTTATCAACCAAGTTGATACCAACAATCGGACAGGGGATCCGTGACCCGTTTGCTACCTCTAATGCCTCCCCCTATCTTCACATATGTGTCCTATCTGTGTGACCGTCCACAATCACCACCCAACAGCCACTTAAACTCATTTCCAAATAGGGACCAACAGATTTTCAAGGAAACAAGGTTGATAGACAGCACCTGTGGTAACCTACCTAGTTAGTTTCGGGACTGAGTAAGCAGAGCATTGAGAAGTAGCATAACATCGCCACTACAAGATCATTTACTACTTGACAATTCAACTCGACTCAGAGACAGTAGAGTTAATGTAACCATGGGATTCAACTTCATTTTTCTGTAGAATTGACTGTTCCATCAAAGGGGTTGAATGAATATGATAATTTACTTTTTGGTATCGGTGTGTGGATCTATGCCCCACATTTTTCTGACAGACGAGTAACTACCGATATTTCTTCCTTCGAAGACAAACAATAATAATAAGCTTTGGAAGACTCCATCTAAATCTGTACTTTCTTCATCGAGTTGTAAGATGAAATCCATCTCATTTCATTACAGGAATTGACGAAGATACTTGTCCATTATCTCAACCATCATTCACGATCTCAATTGGTATGTTGCTGCACTCCTCTCGTTTCAGTTCTCCGATTTATCTTATCAGGCTTTTCTACGCCCTGAAACCCCTTGGAATTTGGCTCGAGGTATCTAATCTTGAATAAAACTTCACTACACAATCCATTCGACACCATTAAACACTCTTTCTATCTTTGTTTTTGCATCTACCAACGGAAAGAATCCAAGGTAGCAACGCTCCTTCAATCTTATTATGCGAAGCAAAAGAGCCAAACATTCTTATTTCATGATTGGTTTTACACGAGGCACTAGCTCGACGTTATGAGTGCTGACAACGAGCAAACTTGCGATAATGTTACCTCGAGGTAACATCATCGCAAGTTTGGTGCTTTTTGTCATACCACAGACCTAATGTGCTCTTCGGCTTGCTCTATGGTAGTTCTACACCTAAGCTTATGAATTCAATCAGTACTATTAATTCATTGGTCTGCAATAGCCCGTTTCTGTCTTACCCATCTGAAAAAATAATGTGATGATCGAAAGGCGCAGTTACTGGCATGGTAGGGCGCAGAGCAATTCATGCTAATTATGTAGATTTGACACAATCCGTCTAGAGCTACAGGCCAACATGCAAACAACGAGTATGACGAGTAAATAATTGACTATTACCTCATACCCAGGGCTGTCACATTTTATTCAAACCATTTCGTCGAGCTGGTCACGTATCATTCGGGCCAGGAACACGGGAGGGGTTTTCGGTATGGATTAGCTTTGGCAGAATTCCTCCGAACTTCCCACGATCCATCCGGACATGCTGAGCTTAGCAAATGCGTAAGTCCACAGTATTAATTTCAATGATAGGGTTCTCTGGATATGTCACAGCCATGACACACATGAATCCTGAGACAAGTAGCGAACTTGATGAAGAGTCAGAAATATTACTTGCCAGAAGCCTCTCATTTCATTGGCTTGATTACTGATCAGCCAAGCTGGAACTTCTTCCGTCCCGAATATGCAATCCAAAAGAATGGACTTGCAGCCACAAAATACTTAATCTCCGCCCACTCGTGCTTGCTACCGTTGTATGGACGCCTTTATCCAGTGCAAACCTCGCCGGGGGTCTTGGGGGGAAAAGCAAACGAATTTTCATCACAGCTTCCATCATATGCTTTGAGAATGGAAAGTAAATGGTTTGCATGTGTCTATATGCACTGGTCCTGGTGGCTACAAACAAACTCTACGTCGAATCCAATTGCTTATTACTGCTTCTGTGCTTCTGTACCTTTTACCCAACCCACCGTCGTTACAAAAGTGCCGGCTAGTGAGGTGATCTTTTCCCTGTCGCATAACAATTCTCTCTGAAAACGGCTATGTAGGCATGCATACCAAGCATACTAGTCTCCAATCCCTCACTGAGCGTGACCGCTTTGATTTCATTGACAACTTCTTGATGCTACATATCCATGATTTTGCTGGCTACCACCATCATCAAGTCACCAAGCTTCTCATGATCTTACGGGCGAACCCTGTTCTCAAGCCCGCAGTATTTTGATGAATTTAAATGCCGGTAATGCTGTGCTTCTTTCTTTCTAGATTTCAATCCTGATTTCGCGTTTACATAAATTGCCCCACTGGGTTTTCCCAGTCCTCCTTGAGAGAGTGCGGCACATAACTGCAGCATTCCTTCGGCAAGCCATGGTTCAAAATCTTAAATGGATATACAAACTTATCTTCTTGACATGGAAAACGGATGCTATTCTCTCTGCCAGTTAAATTGCTTGTGTTCGCATTTCAAATGTGAATTGGGACCTGAAGCAGCCATTGGCTCGACTGTTGCCAAGACTTTTGAAGGATAACGTCTTTGCCATGGAATCGATCCACGGACCGGGCACTTGCCGATTTGAGAATGCTTGGCACTATCATGCAGCAATGATAAAGGTATTGTTAGCTGGGGCCTGCGGAGAAAGAATGCACACATCCTTATGTCTAGGATGTTTAGTATCATGAGGCTGCAACCACAACTTACCAGAACTCTCGGAATGCTTATTCGATCACATTTTGAAGCAGTATTGAAGACACGCTAAGGCCAGAATTGATCGGTTTGTTCATTTTGCATCCGCTCAAGCGATGAGATCTTTCTGTCATGTCCCTCTGTCGTGATAGTAATCTTTGAGCAAACAAGCAAGTAAACAGTTTCATTTCCACTGTCTTCTCTATCATGCTCGTTTCCGTCGGGCTGGTCAGGACTCGTATCATTGAAGCTAGATTTGGATTCTCCGGGATCCCAGAAGTTAAGACAGCGAGATGGATACGTGCAGTAGATGGGCTAGAATCCACGAGCAATGGATAGGTTTCGGCTGTCGAGCAATGTCTGCTGGCTTAGACCTCGCTGTCTAATGGGATATCGGATGTTCGCAAATCATATAAGTGGTGATGAGTGCTCATTTCAGATCATAATGTTCAGATCAGCTACTCCACCGAGACTTCTGCTACACTACACTAAGATATCTCAACACTTTTACAACCTGTTTCACTTGCAACATTTCTGATTAAAAATCGTTATGGCGAGCCCCATTCAAAAAACCCCCCTACTTAACTGCAATAAATGTTTCAAGACATTTACAGCCAAGCACAACCTCAACACTCATACGCACATGGTACACAAGGAATTAGAAATGTGCTCTATTTGTGGCCGCGTGGTGAAGAATCTGGTGCAGCATGATACCAGATACCATGCATATGTCAGCAAAGGAAGACGCCAGTGCCAATACTGTTTGAGATGGTACATACGGATTTGCAGGCATAAATGCTCTCGGCAAAGCCGCCGGAGTTCATACGTACCAATAGCTTGTGCGCCGCTCCGTACCACGGAAGATCTTGAGCCATTGCAAGTTTTTTCATCAACGGTTCCCCAAAGTATGTATATACAAGCAAGCTTTAGCAACATTTCTCTTTGTCTAACATGGAATAGACCGTCTTCCGAGCACTTCCATCCTATCTCCACAGCATTCAACGAGCAGATCACTATCCCTGCTGCCTTTGAACAACACCGATTCCACAAATCAGACTTCCAATCCCGAATCATCTTGGAATGACGCCTCGTCACCATCTAAACGGGCACGCCTAGACTTTTTGATGGATATGATGATGCCATTGGACCCAACAATAGGTTCGCCTGAGCTGTTGTCGACGTATCCAGACGGTATTAATGATACCATCTCGATATCTTTAAGCTCGTTACTACACAACAGGGGGATCACGTCAACCTCTTCGACTCAAGAAACGTTAAGTGTTGATTTGCCAGATCATGACGTTCCAATTCCCAGTATAGAATCTTGCGATGCAGATCACCCATCTGCTGAAGAGACACCAATTGCTGAAGAGACAGCAATTGTTGAAGAGACACCAATTGTTGAAGAGACACCAATTGCTGAAGAGACACCAATTGCTGGGTATGGATTTGATTGGATGACGTGGGAGGAGTATACCAGTTGCGATTTTAATACGCTAGAGAAGTGGTTATGATTTGGGCATAGATGGAGTTAATTTGATTGTAGATATGTATCATCAATATATGAGGAGCAGATCGCGGGATCAGGTACTGGTCGTGTATCGCTAGCAAATCAATTGCTTCTAAGTTTACATCTGGCTAATTCCACCGCCAAATACTATCTTTGATTTTGATGTGACCCAAACATGTCAGTATTCAATCAAGCTTATCATTCCTCCACATTCACTCTTATCTTAACCACCATTCGAGTTTCAAACCTGAACATGCATCCACATCCACATTATTGCTTCTTTTCGGCGTGTGAGATCTAAAGCTCAAATGAACCAAGGAGACAAACACCTTGCCGCCCTCGGCTAATATGTGGGAGAGATAATTTTGCAAATGTCGGATTCTTTGCAAGACCCGGTGTGACACTCCTGGTCGCTACCTAAGTGCCGGTATGGTTAGCTTCTCGATTCAGCGTGTTTGTAGACCAGGGACAAGGAGTATTGTGAGACGGTAAGAAAACAACTTTATTTCAAGTCAAAATAAATGGTGGGAGGTTCCAGTATTGGGTTCAAAATTTATGCTGGCATTAATAAATATTGACAGCTTCATCAAACACGCGACAGATATGAGGAATTGATATATATATTTTAACGAGACAGATGGTTATATATGTACAAAAGAGACACAAGGATTAACAATGAAGTGAATGATTTTGTAATCGACCCTTTAAACATTCTGGAAATATCAATTTCCCAGCTTCAAGCCACACAACAGCCTCCTCGTAACCTTCCAGCCTTCCAAGGTTGTCCCCAATATTAACCTCCCATATACAGATTTTCCAGCAGATTTGCTGGCCAAGAGTCCAATTCTATCAGTATTCGGTCATAGAAGTAAAGGTTAGCAGAAGTGCGGCTTCGAAATTGAGAACAGTAGTCAGAGTAAAGACGTTGGATTAAGGTTGATGTCCGTGGAGCGCGGCTCATCCGCCATCAAACCACGGCATTGACTCGTTTAGGTCGCCTCGTGGAACTGAAAGACAGAGTTGGTTTCATCTGATCTCTCCTGTGTGCCATAATCGAGTGCCGAATGCAATCTTGTGGCCCTCCGGAATGTTGTGTCTGTACTTGTGTCTTGGATTCCGCATTCGCTTCGCGTCTGTGGCTTAGTCATGGCTTCGTCAGCATTGTGATCGAAGCAGCACGTGCGTGATCGTGTTTTACATTAATCTTGACCACACCACACCAAAGGCTCTCAACATGAAACATTGATTGTGCTTGAGATCTGCATGTGTGCAATTCTTCCCTATGTAACTGTTTCTTTTAAGCTTTCCATAGCCTAGCATGCATTTCTACACAGTGTGTAATCCCCCTCCACTTCCAAGGATCACTGTTTCGTGGAAGCCACCCTACATTCCCATATGTACCGACGTTGTCCCAAAATGACACGGGACCGATCAATCACTGTTCAAAAACCATTCTTCAGCTGGTCTTAGCGAAATATCCTTTGATTATCCTATCATGCACAAATAACACGATATATATCACCAAGTCACGCAGAATCATAGAGATTTGATCTTCAGTTGCAGCAGTCTGCGCAATTCGTGTTGTTTTCATCAATATGTATCCAGCGATATATCTTGGTTTCAATCTTGGATTCTTGTAATAGCGAAATCGCTAGAAATTATGACAGTTCACCTGTTTCTCCGGTGATTCCGCAAGTTCCGAACAGCGTTTACAAGGTTGACTGTCGATAAGATTTAAGCTTTTGCAGATCACTAAACGAGGCAGGTGCAAGCTGCGGGGTTTTGAATCACTTTAATCTACTCTACCCTGATTGGCTTTTGCGATATTGGTACATTACTTGAGCTCTATAACTTTCGTCCGTGAATTAGCTGGCAGGGAAGTTCATTTTTCAAATCTAGGTCATTGAATTTCATCTATCGAATCCTCTTCAACAACTATACAGCAAAACCTCTCCATAAGGATCCCCTTTATAAGGATAACCTCTCTATAAGGATATATTTTTCAATCCCAAAAATTTTCAGGGTTGAAAATGATCTATATCCTTAAAACCTTTTTATTAGGATATCCTTATATTTCTCAATTCTAGGATTATGTGTATCCTTATTGGATTAATAGAATTATCAGGATTAGTTATCACATAATAAATATATTGAAATTTTAGTTATATTTTTATAAAAGTGAAATTGTTACGGAAATGTAGCTTGATTGGGATTAATCGGAAGCGGATTACTACTATATCGGGATTAGTTGGATACCTCTATACAAGGATATTTTTATATATTCTTAAAAAAGTCTATAAAAATCGGTATCCTTATGGAGAGGTTTTACTGTATTAAATAGAACTGCCAGTGCCATTTTAAATTAGGATCCACTTTTCTGAATGTCCATTCGTATGTACACAGGCTAAATTCCCCTGCTCAACATTCTATTTGCGCTCCAACTACAGTGTTAGGATCAACATGCTTAATTAGTCTCGGAGAAGCAATGTAATGATACCTTAAATCTCGTAAAACTCCTTATAAGTTCAGATAAAGGCCTTTTGTTATTGGTATTGCCATAGGCTTCATTCCTACAAAGTTCATGCTGACGGTCTCAACTCATCGTTCAAGACATTGGCACAACTCAAATCATGTTTGTTCTACACAAGGTCATTGGATTGTCTAGTATTCTATTCACGACAGTCTCTAGCCAATATATTTCCCTCGACTCTGGTGATTTAAACGCCAGACTGAATTCATCGAGCCAGACACTTGCATCTTTGATCCCAAAGTCCTTGACAACATTCGATTTCTCCCCTTTTGATCTTCTCTCACAAAGAAACGAAAATGGCAATTATCATGTTGGCGATATTACACTCAGGTATCGACCTGTTGGATCTACTTCATGGATCAGTGTCAATTCCGCTGCAGCTAGAAATGCGGTGACTTCCACTGGTGCCACTTCCGCAAACCTCGCACCAACCCTACCATCAGGAATTCCTTTGAACATCACGAGAGTTTGGTCCGCTAGCGGGGCAGATATTGATCTCAACTTCACTATAACCAATAAGGGTAACACCAGTATTGAAATCGGAGCACTTGGATTCCCTATTGAGTTTAATAGCATCTTCACAGATAGAACAGCAGTAGATACTCAGCAAATGTGCTCCCTCGTGGATCCAAACATTGGCCTTGACGGTGGCTATCTACGCGTGACCCCATTATCTGGAACGGGTCCAGCGCTTGTAGTGACACCATTGGGACAAACACCCCTCGAAGGATGGCGATTTTTGGAAGAAGATCCCGACACCGCACTTTCCTATCAAAGCCAAACATTTGAAGGGTTCTATTCTTGGGAAACGTACACTCTAGCATATACTCAGAATGAATGGAATGGTACGAGCCCTTGGAATCCCGGTACATCTGTAGTGCTCGCGAAAGGCCAATCGATTACCAAGGGATTGAGATTTTCTAGTTCAAGTAGTATCAGCAATATCGAAACCACTGTAGCAAACACCGGAACTCCTGTTGCTATTGGTATACCGGGATATATCATTCCCCAGGTAAGTGATATGATTTCCACCTTCAACCTCCCATTCCCATGACCCAATCATTTTGCATCCCTCATCTTATGTGTATATTTAACAAATCCCTGATGAAATTCTGTTCCCTTCTTTTATATGCATTGATTTGTGGCCAGATATGTTTTGACACTTAACAGGATCTCACAGCTCAATTATTCTTGCAACACAATTCACCTGTCGCTTCCATTACATCAACTCCTGCTGGAGCCTTCACATTTACCGCTACAGCAACTAATAAGTACAATCTTACTCCCAGCTCCTCTGCATTTGGGAGAGTGCGAGTAACAATTACATATTCTGATGGTCTTGTACAAACGGTGAACTATGCCATCACCCTTTCTGCACCCTCTGCCATATCTACGCTGGGCACATTTCTAACAACAAAGCAATGGCTTTCCAATACCAGTGATCCCTTTGGTCGAGCACCATCCGTCATATCATATGACCGTTCAGTTGATGCTCAAGTCCTTCAGGACCCAAGGGTCTGGATAGCTGGATTGAGTGATGAAGCCGGAGCCGGATCTTGGCTCGCTGCAACAATGAAACAAGCAGTTTCACCCAATGCAGCTGAGGTGACTAAATTGGAACAATTCATCACAAAAACACTATGGGGTGTTCTTCAGAACTCTGACTATAGCGTCAAAAAAAGTGTCTTTTACTATCAACCTGGTGCTATTTCCTACAATTATCTATCCTCGATTGATTGGAGCAATTGGTGGAGTTGGGACAAACCAACTGCGTATGGTACCGAGAGAACCTACGATTATGTTCATGTTACTGCTGCTTATTGGGCTCTCTATCGCGTTGCTAGATCTTATCCAACGCTTGTCACTCAGCAGACATGGCAATGGTACTTGAATCAGGCTTATGAAACTATTATCTATGCTACCGGTCCAAATACGGATTATGTAGATGTAGGATTGATGGGCGAGACTGTTTGGGGATATGTTTTGCAGGATTTACAAAATGAAGGGAATACTACTGCGGCGAATGCGGTTGTAGCTGCGATGAAGACAAGAGCAGATTTGTGGGAAAGTGAGACTGTTCCTTTTGGAAGTGAGATGGCTTGGGATTCTACTGGGCAGGAGGGGGTTTACTATTGGTCCAAGTAAGTAATGTGACATCCACGCCTGATTTTCGCTAATCCATTTGGACTTCCAGCTATTTCGGCTTGACAGCTACAGTCGCGAAGACGATTAATACGATCTTGGGATACATGCCCACCGTAAGCCATTGGGCCTGGAATGGCAATGCAAGAAGGTATTGGGATTTCATGTAAGTCTAACCAGACCCTCCACAATCCCATTCCAAACTCTCAACACCACAGATGAGCTTGGCTAACAAACAAAAGCTACGGAGGTAAAATGATGCAATTCGAAAGAATGGGTCATCATTATGGATCCGGTCTAAATGCCCTCCCACTACTATCACACTTTGAACAAAATCCCTCTCAAACATATTTGCTTCGAGTTGGATACGGCGGAACAAACGGTCCATTATCTAATATCGACCATGAGGGCTTCGCCTCAGCTGCTTTTCACACATGGCCAGATACCATGGCTTGGGACGGATACAGCGGGGACTACGGACCGAATTTCGTGGGTTTGTCATTAGGATCTGGTGTCTATGTTGTGGATGATGCGGTATTGGGCCTTGTTGCTTTTGGGGGTACCCTCTCTGGCTCGAACACTTCATGGACTGTAGAGCCAAGAGATGCGGTGAGGAGGAAAGTGTATATTGCACAGCTGGGGTTTAAATTTGAGGTTGATGCGGCGGCTATTGAAAGTGTGAAATATGAGGATGGAAAGGTGCAGATTAGTATCGTGTCGAGTGTGGAGACCGTGAGTGGGATGGCAAAGGCGAGTGAGACGATTCTGAGAGTTACGAAGATGGCGCAGGTGGGAGGGACGGGGAAGGCGGTTGTGGATGGGTTGAGTGCGTTGAGGGGGGGTTGGAAGGTGGATCTTAGAGAGGGGAGGGTGGATGTTGCGGTGGGGTTTGAGTAGGGGGCCAGTGGGAGGTGGAATGGGAGGATGGAGGGTTGGTTAATCACTCTTCAATGTATGTTGACTGCATGGAAGAAAGTAAATGAGCATGGAGTTAGTGCCATTATGTAAAATCCTGAATAGAAGAGGAGATTCCATTATCATGGATCTATTCACAAATCGATTAGGCGAGAATTAATTGAGTGAGAGCGTAATATCTTCGGTGCTGAGTAATGGACTTGCTACTACCCAGGTGCTGAGAAATAATTTCAACCCCTATTTGCGCTTGGGAAACCATTCGCATGATACGCTGATGCATAGTTCGGGAGACGTCACTGACCTATATATATTCGACACACTGCTTTTATCGCATGCTTAACGTTATGATATTCTCTGATCAAACGCCCAATCAGATTCCTAGTCCTATATCTCCATATGTATTAACTGTTCTAATCTCCTCCACTCCATTCATTACATTCTCTAAGAAAACCAACGTGAGAAGATTTTAATAACCAACCCCCCCTCCCCCCAAACACATACCCAAGTACACAGTAAACCATCTAGACCCCCCTCTACTCTACAATAAATCACTTATCTCACCACATCACATTACAAATTCCATTTTCTACTCCCCATCTTTCACTGGTTACATACATCCACATCCACCAAACCTCTCTCACAATCCCACCACATATCCTCATCCTTCAAAAATACAACAACACAGACACGATTACTCATTCCCGCCCCAACATCTCAAGCTAATCTTCTCACTTGACTCCACTCCACTTCATCCCATCCCAATCAAATACATTCCATTCTTCTCTTCCAACCCAACCCAACCCAATCAATCTCTCCATTCTCAAAATACTTCCCCTCCTTCCTCCCTCCCATTTCCATTCCCATTTGCTCTCATGAATCTGTATATAAATAAAACACGCGAAACCAATCCTCACTCCAATTATACCTAGGTACCTACCTATCATCTACCACCACGCGATCTTCCCCCTCTCCTAATATCTGAATATATTATAAACTCCATCGTCACACTGCTAACTAATTCATTTCCTAGAAAATCGAGTGAGTGAGTGAGTCATCATCATCATTATGCAGCACAGCATACAACTATATAGACTATGTAGACTATATAGACTACACCCCTCTAATTCCCTTCCCTTTCTTTCATACTAGGAAAATTATCCCACCATGTAACCAACCTTATGCATCTCGCGCACATCCGATTCACGTTGTGAGTTATGTTATGTGTATGATGTACAATGCATAATGTACAATGTATAACAGATATATATATACTTATAAATCTCAAAATAATAAACAGTATTAAAGAAGCATACGAAGAAATATCGAGGAGGATTTCGGGAGTGTAATGCTCTACTTTATATTTCGTTTTCAGATTGCAGGGACATGTGTTGGGAAGGGATAGATGTGGATGAATAGGTATTGGTAAGAGTTGAGGCCCCGGCTTATCGCACACTACCCTTTTTCGTGACAAAATCCCTGCAAAAAAGTCGTTTTCCCATACAAATTTATTTCTTTTATAATTTATTTAATAATTGAAGAATTAATTTGAAAATCTCTTATATAAAAAATTACTATATTTGAAATCTTAAAAAATGAATGAATTATTTTTAGTATTTTTTTTGATATAATTATAGGTTTTCAAAGTTGAAATTTTTCGAAATTTATTACATGTAACGCTTTTTCCATATAAAAAAATCGATTTTTTTGGATTTTTTGGAAATTCTAACTTTGAAAACCTACAACTATATCAAAAAAAATACTAAAAATAATCCATTCATTTTTTTGAATAATTTTAATAATTAATTATAATATATATCAATTTCGATAATTTCATTTCTATATTTATTGAAATAATATATAATTCAAAAGTTGAAGAAATGAAGGTTTTTGGTGTGTTTTCGGCTAGTGTGCGATAAGCCGGGGCCTCAACTCTTACATATTTTCTGCACGTGCTGAATGCTAGTTATTTGTTCTTTTTTTGTTAATTATTAATTTATCTTGTGATTTGAATCCTGATGACGATGAATTCTCGAAAACGTAATATGATATGCGTTGAGTCTTTTAATATCCGGACAACATAGCACTCTCATCTCTCAGCCAAAACCTCCATCTCATCTCAACCCATCCCATGCCATCACACAACCCGCACATCTCCCCTCACAAAACTCACCCCCACAACCCTTTCCCACAGCCAATACTCGCTCTCAACTTATCCAAACTCGCCGTCGTCAACCTCAACCACTCGATATCCTTTCCTTGCCCCGTCCCCCTCCCCCTCGCATAGAACCCCAGCGTGCCAATCTGCACCCGCCACGACTCACGACAATTCACAAAACTGTATTTCCCCTTCATCCCCTTCCCCTCTTTGAATGTGATATCGACTTTTGCGCTTGGGAGCTGCGCGGTGCGTACGCGGAAGAGGAGGGATCGGTGGCCGAGCTTTTTCGTTTCGTGGAGAGTGCGCGAGCCGAGGGAGGTCATCTGTGGGAGGGGTGTTAGTATATCAATCTTCCAGAAAGAAGAGAAAAATTCAGCAATCGAGTACTAGAAATGCAAACACAAACGTAAACTCAAACTTACAATCGCAATCTCCACCACCGAAAACCCATTTGCCGGATTCGGCATACTCACAATCACCGCCGGGTGATCAAACGCATTCACATGCAGCTTCGGATCCACGTACGCATGATGCACAATATCTTCTTTCGACGGGAGCCACACGACGGTGCCCGGTGTGATATCGTTGATATGATGCGATTGGATGTAATATTCTGGAGGCTGGGTAGTGGTATTCTTCCGAGTTGAGATGTTGAATACATTTTCGGGAATAAGTGGTTTTGCGAGGGAGAGAGAGAGGGAACGGGTTATGGGAGAGTGGATACCGGGAGATCGTTCGCTTGTTGATAGGGAGGAGAGAGCGAGTTTGTGTTTTTGGTTTTGGTTTTGTTTCTGTGGTGTTGCGATGATTTTTGGGGGAGGTGGTGGAGGGACTTTCTTGATGAGGGGAGGAGGAGGTGAAGAAGATGTTAAATCTATAACGATTGGTTTTTTCGCGGCTCTATTCTTGATATTCGTAGGGACTGGAACTTTGACCCCGCGATGTACATCACCCTGCCGCGATACATTCGCTCGAACTTTGCTCTTCTCCTTAGCGGACTTTGGTTTAGCTTTTGCTTTCCCCTTTCCCTTTACTCCCGGTTTGAGTTTCGCCATCCCGATGTATAGAAATGTAATCAGCCCACCGAAATCGAATCTATATAGCGGCTAGAAAAACCGTTCCCAAACTTATCAGGACTTCTCTAGACGCGGTCCACGATGCAAATTCCTCAGCCAGAAATATCAAACTATGATACGGTGCCGTCGAACAATACAATGATACAAACACTCTCCCCAAAAAATGCTTTCCTCAAATTAGATGGAAATTATAATCCAAATGAACTCTTTTTTTTAAAAAAAAAAGAAAAACCCCCCTAAATAATCCACACAACGTACAAACTCAACCAGCAAACAAAGAGAAAGCAAAAAATAGATATCTTTCCTCCTAGAATGTTTCCGGTATTCTTTGTTCAGATACTTATCGAACAGAAGAATTACTTAGTCTAGCAAAGCAAATGTGCATTTATAGATTCAATTGAAATAGAATCAACAGATCAAGCGTGTGTGGTAGTTTTGATACGGGTATATTCAATTGGGTACGAGTCCAACCTTGGAACGGTATCAACACCACAAGTATGATATTGATTAGTCAGCATATTCTTATGTAGAGAAATCCCAAATATTATTCACGTCACAGGACAATCACAGAATGCATAAAATCACCATTCACAATTTTCAGGAGAAATTCTCCAATGGGTACGAATGGTAGAACATCAAGATCATATCTGCAAATTACTTCTCATTAACCTATTACACTACCTCGCCATCAATGCCCGGTCTCCTTATATATCCGAATAATGCAACATGAATACCGTATCTATCTTTATCCAACCTACCATCCAAGCCATGCAATTCATACAATTCTCAAACCCAGTAATATCCTGAAATTGGTATATACACATCCTCCTTCCTCGTATCTTCTATATCATACAATTCCATATGTATAATGAGATCCTCCCCAGATTCCCCAATTCCCATGATCCATTCTTAAACAATCTTATAAGCAATCTTCGCGATGTAGAAGCAAGCTAGTCCGAAAAATAGTAAACCGGCTGTGATGCACCAAAACCAAGTCAAATCTCCTTCATAGTCCTGACCAGGTACCCATACGTTCATACCCCAAAGACCAGTAATGATATTCATGGGTAAAACAATGGTACCAAGGACTGTAAGTTTACCAAGAACATCCGCGGTTTGTTCTTGACGTTCATTCATACGGATGTTGATTTGAGCAAGGTAATTACCATGAGAGCGAGCTAGGATTCTGTAAATGTGTTAGTAATGACTTTGATCATGCTTCAACCCGAGGAATCACATACTTTTCGTAATGGGATAAATTTCCAGTCATAGTAACGATATGATCTTGAATATCTCCCAGATATAATCCAATCTCACTTCGTGGAGCAATCTCCCATTGCTCATTGCATCTTTTAGCGAATCCCTTGATGACATCTGCTTTGTTGCCTAGCAGTCTGTAAAGACCCATAACTTTCTTTCGACAATCACCAACTCTTCGAAGCATATCTCCTCCACTTTCTCCCGAGGTACCATCTCCTGCTTCAGATTTCTTCTCGTTATCTCGGGTAGACTTTTCGTTCTCCGCTGGAGAGTGAAGTTTCAAAATCGCATCATCAATATCATCAACTTCATCTTCGATGGTTTGAATTAAAGGAGCAAAAACATCGGTAATATCATCAATGATAGCATATGATATCCAATCAGCTGTGAGTCTCAAGTAGTCTTTCAGTTGTCGAATTCGTCGTCGAACATTGGCCGGATGAGGTGTTTGAGAAAAGTGAAAACTGATAACCCCATCGCGGAAGACTACCACATACATATTGAGAGGCTCTAAGAAATTGTCGTTATTCATATCTTGCTCGAATGATCGATAATTCACAAAGTAATAATGTCGAAACAATTCAACCTTTTCTCGAGCTTCCTGCATTAAGATATCCTCAGCTGTCAAAGGATGTATACCAAAGGTCTTGGAAATGATCTTCATCTCCGCATCCGTTGGAGAAAGAACATCAAGCCACCAGGTAGGACGATCGCCATATCTTTTAGGCTTCTCTTCGAGCGGTGGAGTAGACTTTGGTGGCGACGACTTATTTGGGGACGCGTCATGGGAGGTTTGTCTAGAATGCGATTCTGAAGGGCGCCCTGCACGAGGAGATTCTGTACGTTTTGATTCTTGATTTGCCATATCAATTATGGACGATTGACGAGTTGCTGATTTCGAATCTTCGTTATTATGTCCCAGGGCATGATTGATGTATGCATTTTCTCGACGAATATCCGTATCATCACCCCCATCCTCGGTTTCAGAATCAGAACTATCATCAATTATGGGACGATCAGGAATAAATAGTTCTCTAAAACTTCCACCTGGTTGAACAAGTTCTGAAATTGTTTGACTGTGAATGGTGCTTGGAAATTCTTCGTTGAAATAGGTAAATCGATATGGTGCATCATCCTCTGCTCGATGCCAACCTTTGTGGATTGGTCGAAGCCGTCCATTAATCAATTGAGGTTCGGTGATTTTCTTAGCCCGTCTCTCTTCACTCCTGCCTTCTTTTTCAAATCTGCTCCAATCATCGAGGACAGATAAATTTGGAAATTTCCTTTTATGGCGTCGTGATCTGTATGCTTCATCTTCTTGTTGAGGAGCATCTTCTTCCGCCATTTCAGACATATCAACTGGAAAGCACACGTCTTCTTCAGCTTGTAATGCGATAGTGTGTCTACGTTCTCCGTAAGATGATCCTTTGCGCGGGGTGCCTGGAATTGAATCATCCTCACATGCATCTTCTGGGAGAGACCTGAAAGATCTCATAGATCCTGCCTGAATAGAATCTTGCTCTGGTGAATGATCGCGAACCATTACATCTCCAAAGCTCATATTCGGATTTGTGGCTCCGAGCACAGGAGACCCTGGAACCGAGGGTGGATAGTTGACATTGTATTCATCATTCTGCCTAGCCAAACCAGAGGTCGTCTTTTCGAAAATGGTCTTCTTTTTGCTATGATTTGATGACCTGCTAGAGCTTCGGCGACTACGTTTTCCTTGTTGAAGAAAATTATTAGAGCTTTTCGATTTCGAAGCGCTGGAAATAAGTGGAGTCCTCTCATCGGTTTCTTCCATTAGAGCTTCATCATCAGAATTGCTCTTCGATTTACTAGTGACAGGTCTTCGGGAAACGGTTTCCGACGATTTGAATGGATTATTGTACGAAGGTCGACTGAAAGAAGGACTATCATACATCTGACCGAAAGCGTTTTGACCCATTGTCGAAGGTCTTCGAGGTCGCATACTTTGATGATCTCTGTCGCAAGACGATGTTAGGAAATGCTATGTATTGTATGCCATTAAAAGACTCACCTGTGATCCAAAAGTTCTCCGCTCTCAATGCTAGTATTACTCAAGTTTCTTCCTCTATAGAAGCTTGACCTTGTTACACTTTGCGGAGCATTTCGTTGTGCCATTGGCGTTTCAACCATACCATTCCCATCCTCAGTTGATGCGGCGAAAGATTGTCTTCTTGGTCTCTTTCTCTTTCCACCACGATGATTATTTCTCTTCTTCTTAGAGTTGTTCTTCTCTTTCCCGGTATTGGGCGTTGAGGTCGCATTGGAATCATTGAAATGATCTTGTGGTGGCTGTAGAGCAGTAGGTTCCGGTCTTTGAGGTGGTGTGCCACGAGTATTTGAGCTTGTAGGCTCCGTCGCACGAGGTAGAGGTGGTGCAGACATTATGAGGGAAATCGTGTATTTCAGTCGAGAGACACCAAATGTTTCTTCGACCGGCTGATACTCGATGTGAGGTAAGATAAGTTAAGAGTCTGGGAACGGGACCAATTGAATGATGATCCAATCAAGGTAAGCTGCTTTAACCTGCAAGGAGATAGATAATAGCGATGGAATCGTTTATCGCAATACGATACATTTGTGATAGGTAAAACGAGGCGAAGTGCAGAATCTGATCTTCTTTTTGTTTTTCACCAGAGAAGAAGATGGAGATGAGAAATGAGAAATGAAATGTCGTGATGTTGTGTGAGTTTATGGAAGAAAAAGTTGGTTTTTGATTTTGGGTCGAGCAAAAGCGCTATCTAGGTAAGCAGCTAAAAGCCCGAGTAGGCTAGTTCTACGGTCATTTATCAATTATGACGCCTTGGAACTTGCGATATTCCGAACCAAGGAAGAATTCGACAGTAGACAGTCTTGGTTGGAAGCTTAACCTCACTCGGTCCTTGGCTTTACCGTGGACGATCAAAACAGTGAGAGATGGGAAAAGAAATATAATTACGAGAGAGTCAAGAGAGTCAAGAGAGTCGAGCGTCAAGAGTCGAGAGTCAAGTCACATCTATCAAATACATGGTCAGAACATCAAAAATTCAATTGATACCTCCCTCTCTACATTCCAATAGACAACACCACCTAGATTCCCGACTCTAGATACTAGATACACCGTGATACTTCCTTTGCGGGGTCGAGAACCGTTTCTATGCACATTCTATCTAGGTACATATCATTCTCAGCCATTTCGGTATAAAAGTATTTATATATGAATTCGTAAGGAACCAGGGACAATGTACGATCTAGCTCGTATAGAGTAATCATTACCATCATCTAATAAGTCACTGATGATTGGTTGAGAAAACATCATCGGATGTACCTACCTACCTAGGTATCTAGGACACTATTGATGTCGTGTGCTCAATTGCTTGTTTGGATTAAGATTCTGAAGCTTTTTACTCGCTCATTTATTTATCTGTATATTTACTATAAGTAAATGTTGCTTTTATATATATAGTACGTATATATAAGATAGATACTAGATATATACAAAGTATATGCAGAAACAAAATCGATAGAGACATCTCAAGAATTTATCCAATTAATATCCTAACAAGACCTTCCCTTCAAATCTGACGATCAAAGATTCAAAATGCTATTCGATACTATTATTAATAATATTGATAACGTTTAGCAACCAGCTAACATTACTCCACTCCTCAAGCTTCCTCACTGATTAATAAAACTCCACAACACTTGAAAGC